CCTTTTCACGCATCACGAATAATATCAAAAACTCTTTCACGTTCACGCGAATCACGTTGAATTCCCATTTCACTTTTTTAGTCTTGACCAGTATTATTAGTTGTTCAAGAACCAGTAGTGATCTGCTTTGCGACTTTTATCGATTCTTATGAAGTCCATCTCCTGACAACATCTAACCACAGCCGTTCGAGATCAATACGTACAATTTAAAAACAATAAAATAGCCGGAGATTCATCACGCAAAACAAGATAGTTGACGAATCACGTTTAGTTCAGCTCTTAATTCACGGGTCACATTTAAAAGAGAATATTCGTTGACGTGGATATGAGATATCTTACCACCTTTAATCACGAATCACGAATAAATAATAAATTCATATCACGATTCATGAGAAAAAAAATCGCCCAAATGATGCTTCACGTAAAAAGTATAGGGGACCTTCCTACTTCATATTAAAACGTATCAATCACGATCACTTATTGTAACATTTTTTCAGCTTTATCTTCTTTCTATCGATGACAAACAGTCCTCCATTTTATAGGTTGGACGATAGTTTTTTTTTAATAAGTGTCTGGTGTTTCCAGCATTCCTCACGAGCTGTGGGCATCGTCGAATGCTTTGAACGAAGACAAACCAGAAGCACTGAACAACAAATCAGTCAAATCTAAAAGCTTATTACAAGAACCGCATGGTGGCAGGCTGGCAGACTGTAAACCGTACAGAGGTAATTTGGATATATCCAAATTACCGATTAATATAACGATTACAAAAGCTGACGTTTCGAGCGTTAGCCCTTCGTCGGAGCGAATAGAGGAATTGTGGGTTGTGTGTGCTTTTAAAGGCAGAAAATGGAGCTACGTTATTGGTGGGAACATGGCAACGAGAAAAACACGAATAAATTAGTGGAATGAAAAGCGTTCGTTGATCCCTGTGGGATTTAGACTGCCGGTTTGAAAGATGAGCTTTTGATCAAGAAAGTAGTGGCATAGTTGTGAAGTACGAAGTTTCCAAAGTTGCATTATTTTTTGTACTTTACCTTTTCCATTACTCGTGGATACTCTTTGTTTGAGATATTTTGGTTCCTTGAGTTTAAAGAAATATCTAAAGTTTGGTTTTGTTCGTGACTTGAAGATTCGATCGATATGGGTTGAATGAGGTAATAAGTTAACCCTAAACATTTCAGCAATGATGTGAATGACCGCGATTGACTTTTCGACATCGAAGAATCATCAGAAAATTTTCCATAATCCTAGCTCAGCTAACTTAGGTTGGACCACAGGTAGCCTAAGCTCGCAAAATGAACCCTCGTAAATATGCAAATATGTTTACGTTGCGCAATAAGCGAAATACAAGTATTTGAATGGGGATAAGCAGTTGCACTCAAAGCAATCAAAGCAAAGCAGATAAACTTAAAACCGAGCCAAACGACCCTAAAATAGCCCAGAAAACTTGTACGAAAGAAACTAATCACTCAAGCAAGTACGCTTGTTATTGTTGTTTTTGATGTTGTTTTTTTTTAAAAAAAAAACCAGTTCAGATTAGGTTGAGAGTGCGATCATGTATTCCCATACAAATCCCCATATTTTTTCTATTGAATAACGTAAGAATATTTACGATAGTAACATATTTACAAGGGTAACATATTTACGAGGGTTCATTATGCGAGCTTAGACACCTCTGCTGTGATACTATAAGCTACGAGACCCCCAAAAAACAGTCAGCAACGGTAAGAGTCTTTTTCATGCCTTCTCATCTCATCTCCTCTCCTTTTTCTTCTCCATACCTTATTAGCTTATTCCTGCTAATAAAGCCACCACCACCACAGGACACATTTTCAACCCGCCCATTATCGCACGCTACATACGACTCCATCCTAAACAGTACGTCGGCTACAAGGCTTTACGATTCGAACTCTACGGTTGCACAGAAGGTACGTTTACGTGCTATACTTAACATGATAAAAGCACCAACATTTACAAGGGCTTCAACTTTCACATATCGATTAAATATATTTTGGTTTCTTGTCAATGGCTCCAAAGAGTGCTAAATGTGTAAATTTACCCTTCCTCTAAAGGGTTTAAAATCCCAGAAACGCCCGCCTGTGAGCTGCAACTTGGTATGCAAAATGGTAGGTTGCCAGATTCCGTATTGACAGCTTCATCGAGTCTGAGTGCCACTTATGCGCCTGGAATGGCCAGACTTCATCAAACTGCTGCCAGCGGTCGCGGTGGATCCTGGATAGCAAAAACGCAAGACCTCAACCAGTGGTTTCAGGTTGACTTTGGTGTTGAGACAACAATTACACGGATCGACACCCAAGGTCGACAAGATGGCTCTCAGTGGGTAAAAGAATATACTCTTCGATACAGCGATGATGGCTCTTACTTTAAGCAGTACCAACCCGAAGGATACACGAAGGTTTGCTGTTCTGATACAAATGACGATAATGGTATTGGTAAAAGTGGTGGATCTAGGGTAGGGGCATGGGAGACACGCCTCCCCCCCCCCCCCTTATTTTGGGTAAAAAAAATATATAGGCAGAGGGAAGAAAAGCCGGCAGGGTGAACACACGATAAAAAACGGGCCCGCTCCTCACACTAACTCGAGGTCTGGATTAGTCACTGATAGTGTTGTCTTCCTACATATAGATGCAGTAATGACTATAATGATTTTGCTGTAAAATCAATAGTTTTGACAGAACAATTGGCGCCTGATAAATTAGACCCCTGGAAACTCGAATCGCATTTCGTGCCATCTCAAACCAGTATTGGGATGAGGAGTTCTTCCATTTTTTTTTTTTACTTAATTGGAGATTGCTCACTTTGATTTAGTAAAATCGATTCACTTTTTCCTTTGTTTACTTCACTCATTTAGTAGTTTAACCGTGTTTTTATGGGGCACACATTGAGCTGTCTGTGGTTCAGCGGTAAAGCATCAGAATGCGAAAATTTGAACGCTTTGGTAGTAGATAAGTTGACTCTCTCTCTCATTCGTTTTTCCTTTTCTATTTTTCTTTCTTTTTTTTATTTTTTATTTTTTTGATGGGATAAGACATTTGTGGGAAATAGCGATCGTTATACTGTCATTGGCCACGAATTGGACCCACCAATCAGAGCGCGATATCTAAGGATCATCCCAGAGGAATGGCAAACCTACATAGCAATGAGGCTTGAGTTTTACGGCTGCAAGTCAAGTACGGCCCGTTTATCTTGATAATATGGTTTTAATCTGACTTATAGATTGAGTATAAAGCCTGGTTAGAGTAATTATGTTACTGACTCTTATTGCGTATCACGTTGGATGTTTTTCACGCCAACTATTTTTTTAAATCATCGTATCGTACACATTTCCTGAGATGGATGCTTTATCCGCAATAGGAGTAGCAGTAGCAGTAGCCATAGCACCAGTAGTAATGTTGTTAGGGCAGCAAGCAATAGCACTGATGCCGGTGGTGCTAATATCATTAGCTGAAGCCAGAGCACTCTAGCACTACAGCAAAGAAGGACCGTTTCTCTTGCGAGAAATTTGATTACTTGAGAAAAAGAGAGGCAAAATTTTGGTTTGCTCTGTAGATGACGGTGGATATTCAAATTGGGGAGCTTGGTCCCAGTGTTCCAAAACCTGTGGAAAGGGTAGTTACACCCGCACTCGTACTTGCACCAGTCCTCCTCCGAGCGCGGGTGGAAAGGACTGCTCAGACTTGGGACCCGCGAAAGAGATTGCAGAATGCGATGCTGGAGGATGCCCAGGTATGATCATTAAAAATTTCCTTTTTGGCCTCTATGCCTCTATGTCCTCTCTCACCTTTTCGATCGTTTAGTCATCATCTGCCTCCTGACACTTTTTTCCTCCTGTCTTTCCCTCCTCTTTCTCCCTCTTTCTTCTTGCCTTCCTGCATTTCGACTTCCACTAGCCCTTCGTTCAGCGAATCTGTTCAGGCGTCACTCCATTCTAAAACGTTTTCCTTTCCTATTATCCATTTCTTCCCCCCAGACTATCCTCTTCGAAAACACTCAGCTTTGTAAGCTTTGTGGAAACTTTCTCTAGCTGTAATTTTGAGAACTGAGATAGTGAAAATTTCACACCTTTGACAGAACAAAAGTTTCATACTTTGACTCTAAGAGTAAAGTACTTTTTACCCTAGAGGTACATTTACCTTTTCTACGCCACGTTAAGGCAGCTTTTAAACCAACTCACCCACACAGTCGATGTGAGGAAAAAATGCGTCTTTGCATATGGTAAACATTTTTAATCTGCTAGTCTCAGGTGAGTCTTAATGAGACTGAAACGCTATGCTGAGGTTTCCATGAAATATTTGCAGTCAATGGCGGCTACTCTGCTTGGGGAGCATATGGAGACTGTTCAAAGACTTGTGGAGGCGGGGAACAGACACGTGAGCGAACATGCACCAATCCCCCACCACAACACGGTGGAAAGGAGTGCAGTGAACTGGGTCCAAGTTCTTCTACAAGAAGTTGTAATGAGAAGCCATGCCCTGGTAAACCAGGTAGGATTTATGGTCATCGTTATTTACAATGCAAATGAAGTGTCTGTCACTTTGGGCCTATGCTTTTATCGACGCACGGGAGAAGTAGAGCTGTTTTTGTGTTTGATTGTTTGTTTGTTTGTTTTTTCGCTGGCAACTGTCACCCATTACTGACACAACAAATTTATTGACGAGATTTAAGGTTAAAGTGGTGAATAGTTTTTATCATTAAATTTCCTCGAGGGAGAAAAAAACCGCATCTGGCCAAGGATTCTCCAAGCTGTAAAAACAGGATGTGCAAAAAAGGATAACTTTTAAAAGCACGCTCTCCTTTGTTATCTTATTAACAATTATTCCACGAGCGCGCGTTGGATATGAGATGATAGATAGCCAACGAGGCGCGTAGTGCCGAGTTGGGTATAATCATCTCATATCCAATAAGCGCGAGTGGAATAATTGTTTTATTAAAAAACTTCAAATTAAATTATTAAATTTTATTAAATTTTACTAAAATTTTAGCTCCCTTTTAATTTTAAGCTGAC